CTGGTGGTCTATAGCAGATGCCCACCACGACATCACCCTTGTTGCTCTCGCCTCTAAACTTAACCCAAAGACTCAAACAGGTTTTTCTCCAGTTTCATACTGGAGCTCTGAGCAATCATACTGCTCTCTTACATACAGTGCCACTCCTCCACCTTTTCTTCCCTGCCGGTCCTTCCTGAACAGTTTATACCTATCCATGACAGTGCTCCAGTCATGCGAGTTACCCCATCAAGTCTCTGTTATTCCAATCACATCATAGTTCCTTGACTGTGCCAGGACTTCCAGTGATTCCTGTTTGTTTCCCAGGCTTCTTGAATTCATGTACGGGCACTTAAGATAACTAGTCAATTACCCTGCTTTCTCAGTAGGGATCAGGAGGCCTCCCCTGTTGCACCCTCCTCCTTGCGTTTCCTCCCGGTATCCCACTTACCTCAGGGCTTAGGTCACCATCCCACAGCAAACCTAATTTAAAGCCCTCCTCATTAGGTTAGCAAGCCTGCTTGAGAAGACGCTCTTTCCTCTCTTCCTAGCAATCCTTCTTCCTGAAACATCCCATGGTTGAAGAATCCAAAGCCCACTCTTGGACACCACTTGAGCAACCATGCATTTATCTTCACAATTCGATGGTCCCTACCCGGCCCTTTTCCTTCAACAGGGAGGAAGGATGAGAACATGACTTGCGCCTCAAACTCCTTTATCCTTCCTCCCAGAGCCACGTAGTCACAGTCACCAACTCAAGGTCATTCTTGGCATTATCACTGGTGTCCACATGGAGACGTAGGAAGGGATAGCAGTCCAAGGGCTTGATCAGTCTCAGCAGACACACCGTCACATCCTGAATTCTAGCTCCAGGCAAGCAGCACGCTGAGTTTCCTGGTCTAGATGGTAGACGGATGACTCCATTCCCCCTTAGGGGAGAGCCCACGACAACCACCACCCCATCTCCGCCTCTTGGGAGTGGTGGATGTGGAACCCCCATCCCTAAGACAATGCTTCCCATGCCTTCCGGTCGATGGTGTCTCCCTCTGATCCCTTCCCTCAGGTAACTCTTCCAAATCATTCTCTGCCATCGTATCTGTGCAGAGAGCCTGAAAATGGTTTCTTACCTCTATCTGCATTGGGGGTACAGGAGTTCTCCTCTTTCTTCTTCTGGAGGTCACATGCTGCCAATTTTCTTCCCCATTCTGCAATGTCCTCTGAGTCTTCAGCATGCTGTGCCTGCAGTACTAAACGCTGTCATCTATCCAGAAAGTCTTCATTTTCTCTGATGCTACCCAAGTATCAACCCTGAGTTGCTAGTCCTTTAACCTTCTCTTCCAATATGAAGACTAGTTTGCACTTGATACAGACGAAGTCACGTCTATCCTCTGGGAGAAAGGCCAAGATGGTATATCCTGTGCGGGTCACAACAGCGGATCGTTCACGATCCACATTGTCTTCCTTTCAAGAGCCTCTTCAGATGTTTTATTTACTGCTCACAGAAGCCTGAAAGGCAAAAAACTCTGTGAGAACTCCCCCAAGGCGAACTCCCTCTGTTTGCCTATCCTCTGTTCACTGCTCATTTTGTTCACAACTGGCTGCTTTTTTATAAGGCTGCTGGCTCGAAGCAGTTGCCCTGGCCCAAAGCCTTTCCTCCAATCAACCATTCAAGGCCCACCTGGAACAAAGCACTCCCAATTCACACTTTTCAAACCAACCAACCAGACGGTCAAACAGTCACAAATCTTAGTGATCAGTAGTCCTTCATTTATTAACACCTCACGGTAAAACTCTCTTTGGCTCAAAAAACAGAGACAGCGTCTTCCATTACTGTGCACTTATTTAGCTATTTGGATTTTATGATGAATTGCCTTTCCGCCTAGACCAAGGGTGGATACAGCATTGTCTCTCTCATACAGACACACACACCCCTAGCAACAGAGGTGAAATGAGCAATTTCATGGTCAGTATTTGCTTGTATGTATTTTAACCTCTAAAAGAGCAAGTGTGAGTGGTCACACGCCGAAGATGGGTGCTATCAAAGGGACATAGACAGATAGAGTAGAAAGACAAGATGACAAAATCAAAACTGATATTCTTGCCAATGCGTGAGAGGTGTCCCATTGGGGTATGAAGAAATCTGGACACAAATGCTTGTCACCATTTAAAAATGCAACCTAAGACTAGGGCTGAATGGAGGTTCTTACGTAGTGTTGCATCTCTCCCGAACACTCAATTCCATCCAAAGGACTAGCTACTATTAAAATCAAATATGGCCTGCTCTTAGAAGTCCCGGCTGCATTGCTTTACTGGCACATGCAATCTGAAGATGAAAATTGAAAAACAAACATCATTTTCTTTTCAGACACCACTGAAAGGCAGTTGTCAACCATAACGCGCTCAAGGGACAGTGCATATAAAAATAGCCAACTGCACTTTTCCCAGTATGGGCATAAGTAGCCAACTAAACCCAGAAGAGGAATTTAGCAACATTATAAGATGGGCAAGAAGTCCCCTCACCCCACCTGTTGAAAGGATTATCTAACACTTTAATTGACTAGTAGTTTATAAATTGAGTTTCAAACTCAAATATTCTCTATTTGGACCTACATAAACAATATCTATCAGTGTTTTATACTACTGCCCATCACTGTAGCATTTGAGTGCCTTTCCTGCAAGATCAATAGCAAAAGTGAAGTCCCTAGTGGACTCTGGCACTTTTATACAATCAAATTATTACTGTGGCACACAAAAAAAAGTATGTTAGTATTGCATTAAGTCTCAGATTTTAGTCACTTAAGTCAGAGTTAAAATTCTTACTGCTATTTTAATCTTGGTCCTTTGCATACATCTGTTGCAAGAAGGTCTTTTGTTACTTTATCATAGAATACAGTGGTTCTCTGTGTTTTCAATACCAGGATCTACCGTCCTCCCCCAACACCCTCTCTAATCTAACAGAAGAAGGGTAAGATGGTCATGACACATTAGTGACCTCTCTGGAGGTTATGACATCCATGTTGGGAGCCTATAACATAATACATATGAAAATTTGTGTACAGTAGGTGCTTGGATACAGTAATGGGTGGGGCATAACAGACAGAATATCTGAGTTTATAGGCAAAGGTGCAGTTTCATCATCATATCATATTCTGAAGACCAAGAAAATGTTTTCTAAAATAATTGTGTAAGCATCTCAGACAGAGAAGTAAGAAACAAATGTGCTTATCCCTTTTAAATTGAAGAGATTTTAAAAGGCAATGGGCAATTTAGGCTCATCTTGGATAGGCTCAATATACTGTATGTAGCTAAATGGACAGTTAGCAGTAGAGCAATCTATCTAGTTTTAAAATAGTGACTGATGATGCTTTAGACAAAAACTAGATAAAGCTTTACTTTGCCCTGCCAGGAAAGGAGGAGAGTATGTGAGAGGGCAGCCAGGGGATTTGATTTGGTATAAGAATTCAGTTCCAGCTGGAATTTTTTCTTCCAGCACTGATCTAAGATACACTTTGGAAGGAGTAGGTCTGATTTCAGGTACTGGCTGAACAAAGCTAAAGGCCATATTCTGCAGTACTTAATGGAGTAATGCATAGAGTTGTTCTGCTAAACACCTCAGAATTTGGCCCCAAGTATATATATTCCTGTAACCTTCACATAGCAAATTTCTCTTAAGATTGGACTTCATATTGTACAAAATCTAAGTGAGCAAAAAATAAAATTTTCCCTTTTTCTTTCTAAGCCTAAAGATTTCTGAAAAGAGGCAAGAGGCTGCAGTAAGGACTAGCTATGTGCTAAAATTTAAAAATAAATGGTCATACACAAAAAGAATACATAAGGGGAACAAATTAATGGAAACACTCCTGTGGTCCACTGGAGCCATGGAATAGGCACATTCTAACCCTTATCCCCACCCATCCATTGAATTTGTGTACTCACAGAATGGGAAGATATCAGGTGGCAGGATGGATAAAGGAATGGGGATTCCCAAGGATCCTGGCTTCCAACCTCAGTGACTGTGCTCAAGTCTGTTGATTGACTCCAGTTTTACACTACTCTGAAGACCCTTCCAGATTATTGGCTCACTCCCCTAGCTGTTCCCTTTGATTCTATGGAGGGGAGTCAGAGGGTGCACAGCCAGAGTTTAGGCAGCTTTAGCTTCGCTGATTTGACCTGCAAATATCCCCATGCCCCAAACTGGTTAAAGGCAGGAATCATGACACTGAATGTGGATCTTCCATCACCCTACCCACTTTCTCATGCTCATTCCTGGGCATCCCAGATATCTGATAGAGAAGGGAATAGTATTTCACTTATCACTTTCCCCATCTGCAGGGTACGACCAGGGTTTTCTTTGTGGATTTCCTTCCCTCTGCAGGACAGGGCAAGAAAGGACACATGGCCCAAAGGGTATTTTTGTATGAATGGACTGCAAGAACAACATTAAAGTTGTTTGTATATGAACACCTACATTTATTTCCAGGTTTATGAAGAGCCAAAATGTACTCTCAACCTTGTCCGCACCAGTACACCAGATACTTCTGGGTTTAAACTAAGCAAGAGAAGTTTTATCCCTAAAGAGGTCATGGCCTAATTTTCCAGGAATAATTAGTTATGGATGTCCACCTTGAGATATGCAGACCTGATTTTCAGAAGTTTTGAGCACCTATCCTCTGAAAAATCTGGCCCCTTTGAAATGCTCCAGTTGTGCATCCAAAAGTCACTAGTCACTTTTGAAATGTATGTCCTTGTCCTTTAGATAAATAAAAGGATGCCTGACCCCCCCCCCCCCCCAAAAAAAAAAAAAAAAGGTTTAAAATGGAAGTACTACATCAGACAGTGATGCACAAACTATCAGGATAAAATCACACTAATGTTAGCTGGTACCTGCTGGGGTTGATAACTAACCCACTCAGGCAAAACTCCAACAGAATTCAATATGAGGCTTGCCCAAGCACAGCCATAGGACTTGGTCCATTCCTTGTACCCTACCAGACTCTGTAGTAATGATACTCTTTACATACCGGTCTTCTCTTGTACAGTAGATATATAAAATGTAGGAAGTTGACAACCAAGAACACCGAATTCCAGATCATTATATCCAAAGCACAGCGGTACAGAATGGCCCAGATGATGAAAAGTACACATCCTGTCAAAAATAAAGCAGGAAGTTAAAAGATATAAAAAATCTGGTAAAAATATTTTTGTATTTATACACACACACACACACTTCATTCTTTTGATATAGATAATACAGCACCCTATTTTAGAGTACAGTGATTATGTTCAGAAGTGATGCATTTCACAAGTTTCAGTCTTAGGTACTATGGATCAAGGTAAGCAATGTTTTATTAAGTGTAATAGTTAATTTTATTTAGTTACAAGAAGTAACTAAAACATACAACTGCTTCATACAGCTGTCATTACGCTATTTGAGACAAAAATGATAACAGGGTGGATAAAAATCAATGATTTTTTATTTAAAATCAGATTTTTTGATAAAATGCTTTGAGGAAAAAAACCTATCTAAAGATAGTTTTAATTAAGGTACATTATAGCTCAAAGCATATCTCATTATGGAGTAGGAATTATAAATTCTATAGTATGAAACAATATATTCATGTAATGTTTAAGAAAAGTTTTGTAAATGAGTTCCAGTAGTTCATGGATTAGGGACCCAATCTTCTGGGGTTCCAGGGGCTTCAAGATTTAGGTTCATCTTTCTATCTACCCAATGGGACACAGTGCTCAGTCTAGAAGATACTATCAGAGATGCTTAGTTTTGCAGTTCTCAAACTGTGGATTTCGGTCTCCAGAGATAATATGCTTGTTAACAGCAAAAATGTTTTAAAATAAATAAATATACATAGAGAGGTAAGAAATAACAGACCTCAACCCTATTGTCCCTCTGCAAATTTGTGTACACAGAGTCAATCCCATACCTCTCTCTAAAAGTGCAAAGTTTCAAAAAGTTCAATGAATAGATTGCTAGTGGCAGAACAGATTTGGACAAGGAGAAGTAGTCTGGAGATAAATGTGAGAAGGGAGGGACAGGCAGTAGAAACAAAAGTGAAACTGTTTGAGCAACATATTCCATAAGCCTTGAGGTCTTTCTGAGGGTAGCCCTCATTGATTTGGGGTTACCAAATAGGGTTTGGTACTATTCTCTCACTAGAAGGGAAAACCTATAATGGCAGTAGGCCATAATATTTTATTGAAGCTCCTCTACCTGTGGGTAAGACAGGCATGCGTGCAAAATGCAAACAGTGTAACAAAGAAATACAAGGCCTGGTTGCCTAAATGAAACAACATCATGAGAAGTGTTCCTTCTCAGGAGGAAGCTGCGTTGAAGAGGATGAAAGGAACATGTCGGATCTTCAGGTTGGTAAACTTTTTTATTTCATACTTTAAGGACTGCCTGTCTTCCTTCTGAACTATTCTTGAATTCTCATGTTTGAGCAAAAAATATAGTTGTTACTCAATGGTACTATCATTTTAGATGCAGTTGTGATAAAAAAATAAATAGCTGAAATAGGCAGCTCTTCCTTTTACAATTTCACCTTTAAAGTAGTACTGAGTGTCAGTGAATGCAATGAGTAATGCTAAATGAGCAGTATGGTAATAATAATTAAATAACTGCATTGGCTTATTTTGTTTAGGAGAATCCATCCTCAACATACAGGATTCTGAAGACTATCCACCTTCAAGATCACTATTATTTTCTATAGTTTCAGAGCTATCTGCCAAGGATAGCATTTCAGTCACACCATGTATGTCACATAGCCACAGTATACCACCTGTAGCAAAAAGAAAAAAAAAAATCTCCATCATCCAAAAACCACCATAGGTAAGATTACAAAAAAAGAGGCAATTGATGAAAAAATTGCCCGGTTTGTTTATGCAACAAACTCTCCTTTCCGTATGATTGAGAACCCACGCTTCATTAACATGGTTCAGTCATTAAGACCAGGATACAGTCCACCCAACAGAGCAGATGTCTCAGGCAAATTGCTGGATAAAGTGTATGAAAGAGAAATTGAGCGGTGTGCAAAAGGTCTAGAGGGTAAAATTGTTAACCTGAGTCTTGATGGGTGGACCAATGTCCGCAATGATCCTGTTGTATGTGCTTGTGTGACAATAAAAGAAGGGAACATCTTCCTTACAGAAACAACTGATACATCAGGAAATGCACACACAGCGGAGTACCTACAAGAAGTAGCATTAAAAGCTATCACAAACTGCAGGAAAAATTTCAAATGTCTAGTACGCAGTTTGGTCACAGACAATGCTGCAAATGTATCCAAGATGAGAAGAAATGGATTTAGAAGGGAGTCCTAAACTAACAACATATGGTTGCGGTGCTCATTTGATGCACCTCCTAATCAAAGATTTCAGTGTTTCAGAAATAAAGGCTAATGTTGTTGAAATTGCAAAATACTTCCATAACAACCACTTTGCAGCAGCTGCTCTGAAAAAAGTGTGAGGAACCAACCTAACTCTCCCACAAGCCATGCGACGGAACTCAGCAGTGGACTGTTTTGAGCACTATATCAAGAACTGGCCTAATCTGATGACAGTTTGTGAACAAAATTGTGAAAAAATTCTTAACATTGGGCTTAAGAGAAATGTTGAACACATGCGGAGTATCCTGAAGACTATTTCTGTAGCCTTGAACAAAATGCAGGGAAATAGTTGTTTTATTGCTGATGCTGTTGAAATTTGGAAGGAACCGAGTGAGATCTTAAAAAGAGAAATATGCAATGACAGAGTTAAATGACAAGCACTATCTGCAGCTCATTTTCTTGCAAATATTGTCAATTCTCAGTAGCAGGGTCAAACCTTAACTGCTGAAGAAGAGGAGTTGGCTATGACATGGACATCCAGCAATCATCCCTTCATAATGACAACTATAATAAACTTCAGAGCTAAGGGTGAACCATTCAAGAAATAGATGTTTGCTGATGACGTTTTAAAGAAAGTCACACCAGTGAAGTCACTTAGGTGGAAGTCACCTAAGCACTTGGATTCAGAGACCGTTGAAGTGATAATCTCACTTTTAACAGCAGTAGCTTCTTCTGCCGGAGTAGAAAGAATATTTTCTTCCTTTGGACCAATCCATTCCAAATTGATAAATCATTTGGAGCTGAAAAAGCAGGAAAGCTTGTTTTTCTTTTCCAGATTATGAACAAACAGGAAAATGAAGGTGAAGATGCCCGAGTTAGCAGCAGAAGCCAATATTTTACGTTTCTCATGTTGACCTGGCTGACATAGTCGATTTAATTTGTTGGTTTTTTTTTTTTTTAATATTTCATTTAACTATTTTAGTAAAAAAAAAAAATTAACAAAATCAAACCTGATTTTAAAAAACTTGAATGTTTAACTAAATTCAAAAATTCATGTGCTTGTTTTGTTAAAATATTATGTTTGCTGTTGAAGAAAAAAAAATCCAGAATACATAGTGTTGTTGATTTAGTTAAATAAAACAAACAATTTAAATGTCTGTCTGATGATCTTCTCCTAATACAGCATGGCAAGAAAATCCTCCAAATATTAATGATTAACCTGTTGAATTGGAGATATTTATGAAGTCATTGGCAGGTGAACTATCTGCTTCAATTACCTTTGGTAAATGAAATAACCAAACAATCATTCATTTTCTGATATAGCTGTAAAACTAATCTGAAAGGTTTTCAAAATAAATCACTTAAAAAATGTATAGTGTGTACCTTCTAAAAATGAAACCTACATCTATCTCTGAGTTCTGAAGAATACGTATTAAGGTTATAACAACCAATAAGAATGCACTTCTATGTAGAAATCCATGATTAAATGGAGGCTTCCTGACTAGTGATTAAAATCAAATGCACCCTGATGATAAGCATTGATGATAAACATTCATTTCTAGGGCTGATGCCTGTAGATAAACAAAACATGAGTAAGCAAGCACTATTTGCCTGGAGCTCCCTAAATGCCATCCACCAAGATTTTCAGTTTTAAAATAAAAAACACCACCATAACATGTTATGAATCTGGCTTCCTGCTGTGAGTTATGCCATTGTGCAAGATATCATTTGTTAGGAAAACAGAATGACTGATGAATATCTTCTACATAATTTTCAAATACTAATTCCTCTGCTCTGATTAGTGAGAGCTAACAAACAAGATAAAGTTCTTAATTATGCATCTTTCTCTTACAATGTTACTCTTTCAAGTTGCCATCTCAGCTTGAAAAATTTCAACTCCATACATTTTTGCCAGTTCAAAATTCAAACTAGAGCCCAAATCAGTGAACCCTCCACGTGCAGAACTCCTGTTGATTTTAATGAGAGTTCAACAGATAAAAGGTCTTGCAAAAACTGAGGTTCCTGGCCATTAGAGAAACTGATTTTGGTAAACTAGCCTTTTGTAAGTGTGAAAAGAGATATGGAACAATTACTGTAAAATTCATATAAGCAACATAAAGGTCTGGTAATTAAATAGATTCTCTCAAACACTGAACATGTTCTATATTGTAAAAATAACAAAAGTGATATTTCTCAAAAATACACCTTACAGGGTCATAACTTTTCTCAACATTTCCTCAATGGGTCATGAAGACTTTGTTCGTAAAGTCTTAACATAGTTCAGGAACCCTGTAAGTGATTTACCGCTCTGCCATTGTACTGTGTGTAGAACCAGTTTGGCCCCACTCAAATCATGTTTAAAGTCTTCCTAACAATGCAGCTGAAAACAAGGTTTTGGCATCACCTACTGTCACGAGGTGCTTACAGTACTTCAATGGTAAAAACCTAGCCCTATTCAAGTCAATGGCAAAACCCCTTTTGACTTCAATGGGTCCTGGATTTCACCCTAGCTTTCAAAGCTATTTCTAAGCTAGCAGTGAATGAAATGAAATGCTAGAACAAAGAGAAGCATCCATACGTTATCTGAAAGCATTAAGAATTCCTCCTGCTCTCTAATTTCTCAGAGCACACATGATTGCCAAGTGTGTTGTATTCCACTGTTCTGAATCCAACTACATCTTTATTATTATCCAACTATTTATCTTTATTAAAAGTCAGGGTATTTAAGGTGGTTAATAATGAATCAGGCCAAGACTCCAACAGTGAATTGCTTTTTTTGACTACTATCAGAAAAAGGAAATTCTAG